GGCATGGTATCAAAGCAACATGGATGCTTACAAAGAAAAAAGAAAGGAAAAAAGTGGGAGAGATGTTTGACAGAGCTGTCTGAGGAGGAACACCAGTGATTAAAACTCAGTGCTAGACTTTATATTTGCAATACCGTTTATGCCAGATCCAAACATGGATTATTGGAGCGAGCAGCTCGGGAAGGGCATCTGGTGTAAAACCTATGCTGAATAAAACTGATGAATCACCACACACTAGCAAACAGTGTCAAAAAAGATCAGCACTGCAACTGCCAAGAAAGAAAACATATCTTTCCAATACTTTAAAAAGAAGTGTAAGTGTGTTTACATTAGAGTGACTGACAGGTGGCCTAGCCAATCAGGGACAGGCATGGTATCAAAACAAAATGGGGCTTACAAGGAAAAAAGAAAAAGGTGAAAGAGATATCTTGCCCATGGACAAACAAAAGGTCCCTCCAACAACCATCCACTCACTTACAGACTACAATCATACTGGGCAAATTAGGCAAGGTGGGTGAATTGTCACGCCTAAGGACATAACAATAGAATCAGGTCTGAGTGCAAATCAAACCCCTAACCGTTTGGTGCACAAGGGCTCTAACAAGTGAATCACTGCCGTCCCCAAATTTATGCTACACAATACTTAAGTGCTACGTGATTAATTGTGCAGCTCTCAAGGAGACTCTGTAAAGTTGCACCCATTTGTCACTGGAACAGAATTCCATTATTCATCCTACGAGTCCTTATAGAACAGACATTAAAATATGCCAAGTCCATAAGTACCTCACTCCCTGACTTCACTGCTGCATTAGAGCACAGCACTAAAGTATAGCCTCTCTCTATTTGCATGCACTTCAGCGCTCAGCCCACATCAAATTCTACACACTGTCCATCACCTGCAGCCTGTTGCTCTCCCTCAGTTACAATCTCCATTTTTCAAATCATTGGTGATGCCAGGACTTCCCCTCTTTCCTCTCTCTCTCTTCCTTAAACATGCGGGACTAGTGTTATCGCACACTGCAGATGTTTGGGAGGGGACCAGAGACTCCCACAGCCAGCAGCACTAAACAGGGTGCACTTCTGTGGCGTTAAACCTTATACAGAAACCATTATGCTTAGCCTGGCACTTCTGCAGTAGAGAAGACCTTGGGCTGCAGTACAGTCATATATCTGCTGCTCACGATTTGAGAAGATGTAAGTTTTGAGTACGCTCCAGGTGACACAGCTAATTGCAGCCATACTAGTGTAGTGTAGTCACAAATATTCAAATTTAAACCTTGATTTTCATAAATAGGAAAATACTTTAAAGCTCCCATATTACTCTATTTCTAATTTCTTTTATGTTGTTTCCTCATCACAAACATACCAAACATACTGGAATTGTGTTTGGTTTCATTCACACCTGTTTAACACACAAACCTGCCATATTTAGGCTGATTTCTGTTCCAGCCTGTGATGTCATGAGGTAATATAGGAAGTGCTTCACTGTGTTTTTAAACTTTACACATCTTCACTAGAATCATTTTAGATAATTGCTTTCCTGGAAATTCCAATCTCTATTGAGCTAAAGGTAAAAGGAGCTGTTAATGTGAAAACTACCACTTTGTGACATCATAAAGTGGAACAGTGCATTTTGAGATTTTCAGATGTAGATGTAATAATAATAAAGGTTAAGCATGTGTGAATGAAACAAAACAAAACTCCAGGTATGTTTCTGAAGAGGTAACAACATTCTAACATGGCTAAAAGCTCACAAGAGTCTTTTGCGTGATATAGGCCCATTAATACTTTCCATCTGACAATGATTATGACATTGACAATGATCTAAAACAATTCAGGAGAGGTCTAATTTTCCGACTGATACTTCAAACGAGTATTTAGTTTCAAGATCGTTTTCTAATCTGTACACTTGGGCAATGCTTTAAATAAAAATCAGTGTAGAAATGACCAACTTAACCTTTCTCTAATATTTGAAAGCCTTATCATACAAATGCTGTTACAAATGTTCAGAATGTTCACTTTGATGAGTAAGATTTGTAAATAATTGTTTCATTCAGTGATTGTTTTTGTATTTGGCAGCATTTTTTAATTAGTTTAGCAGTTTTAGCATTTTTTAAAGTCTTCTCTCAAATGTTACATGTCTAAAGTGTACATTTTGAAGAGAATTGTACAAGCAAAAGATTATTTCCAAAGTAGAGACAGCTTCTATGTTGGTCATCTGGACAAGGTATTTCTGATCAAGATGTTTTGGCTCCCATCCAGAAACAATTTTCAATTGGGGCTTGGGGACTTAGTTAGAAAAGCCCAACCCCAAAAAGAGGAGATTTAGAGTGAAAGTGCCCTGCTCTTGTTTACTAGCTAACATAATTATGGGTCATCTCTACTCTGAACCAATCCTGGACGAATGAGGGAATAAACTGTCTCATCGATCACAAATTTATAATATTATAAGGGAGAAAATTATAGACTATTTGGGGGACCACGTAGTCTTTTTCATTGGAAAACACAGACTCAGGGATATGTGCAAACTACCTGCACAGCACAATAAGATGAAAGAATGAACAAAAGCTATTCTTCTTCATTTCCCATCTGAGATCTGTAACAGTAATTTACAAAAAAATATTTGGCTGCAAATGACTGTTAATGATAATATCAGTGATACTTAAGTTGAAAGGACTTGAATATTAATGGCTTAATATTTTTATTGAAACTTTAAGCAAATGGTATCTTACTTACGAAATTAAATATAAATAATAATAAATAATTCCTCAGAAATAAAACATTTTCTTTTGGGGATTCATGCATTCCTTAGCCTTGATCTCCCGTCACTCAGTTCTAAACCTATCTGAAAAACACATTTCTCTAATACCCTACTGTGCCTATTCTAAAATGAATGTTCATGAATAATTCACATCAATTTGAAAGTGCACTATAGAATTGTGAGTGGAAGTATGCTAGCAAAAAGGGAAAAATAAGTGACACAATAAAATGATAACATTCATGTCCACTGGCTCATGGCCTCTGGTACAGAGCAAAGCGAGCACACAGGAATCCATTAGTCCAACATGATTATCTCCTGGCTCTAAAATTAATTAAGTGAGTCCAAAGCAGTGAGTGTGTGTATACAGAGGTCTAGCTGTCCTGATCTATTTCCCTTTTTTTCTTTTTTTTAAACCAAAATCCTCTTGTCCCGCTCTGAGAGGCAGATGGTGGTGTGGATTGGGAACAGGCCTACAGCTATCACAGCACTGCAGGTAGTCGTGAGCTGCAAGCAATTTCATGACTCACTTTTTCATTTTTTTTTTTATTTTTTTTTCCTAAAATCATTCTTTGGTACTCTCTCTCCAAATAGATACACAATTCAGAGTTGTACTCTCTTAAATATAGTGAGATTATATATTCATGTGCACTCTGAATAACTTTGATTAGAATGATACACAACAATAAAACTCATGTTTTTTAATAAATAATTATGCATTAGCCAGAAAGGCCATTGTATATTTTGTACAAAAGCCAATGTAAGTGGTTATGTCAAAAAGCACACTCCAGTGTTTATACCATATAATGCAATTGATCTTGACTATATTTTTTAGATTGTTTAACTATATGTGTGTAAGTGGATCTATAGCATAACTGCAGTATTTCCCACACAAGAGCCTCTGGACAAAAGCCCAGACCTTGATAAGAGACTTTGCGACAAACATTGTAACTTGCTTCATACTTTCAGGGTGAAGTCGCACATTCATAAACTTGTGATAATAGTCTGTCGATCAAGCTACAAGAGCATATCAGACATAATTGCATATTTCATAGTATTTGCACACAGTAAAAACACAGTGAATTCTGAAAATGGGATCATCAAATTAACTCATTTCAAGGATGTGATTTATTAGAGGAGTCTGACAGTTTTATTAGGCCTAATGCGACAGCCTAATCCAGCAGAGCCTCCCTTCTTCTGCTGTAATCTTCAATGTAAACCTTCACGAGCAGGTTTCCTTGTATGAAGCTAAAGCCCATTGCTAGTGCATCGCAGTAATCCCACTAAGGCTCTTATGGAGGAGATGGATTTCACTATGAAAAAGGGAGAGTGGGTTAGGACTGCCACGACTTACACAAGATCACTAATATATAAACATCTACAAATCCTCTTAAGGGGGGTACTCCAAACATATTTTAAGGTGGAATAGGAAATCACATTTGCGTCACATGCTTCTTTGTCCCCCCTTAAAATTGCAGTATGTTTGAAATACGTCCTTGCTTGTAACAGTGAAATGGAGCTCTAGCCCATCACAGACTGTAAGGTCATGGAGAGACAAGGGGCAGAGACAGGAGCAGCTGGTGCCACATTGATCTTTCTTTCTGTGTATGGGGGCTTTCTACTGTACTTGCTCTTTGGCTATTGACAGATGGCAAGATAATAAGTTATCAAGATTCTCCTTATTGAACTTGTCAATGCACAATGATATGTCAAAGTCACAACAGAGTAATAGCATGTAACAAAACTACACACCCACACCAAATGTTTCTATGATTTTCACTGTCTATTGTCTAAAGTCTTGCATTGTTGGCACACTTTGAGAATGAATGCGCCCTTCTATAAACGGAGAGAATACTCAAAAATGGATGCAATGAAACTCCATTTGATCTCCATCTTTCTACAGACCCAAGGCCTATAACATTTCTTCTGACAAGACACAGGCCCGGGCTTGACGCAGCGTACAAAAATCACACACACCAGAAGCAGACTTTAAAAATGCACAGGACCCCACTGTTACGCCTGTTCAGATTTAAATACGTGCGTCGTCGCGTTTAGATGATACATTTACAAATTAAATGGTGTCCCAGATACATAGATCAGTGTCTGACAACGATAGGGAGATGCATTCTGGACCACTGGACAATTTGCGATACAAGATGTTCATAAATGCTTTTAATCACACTAGTCACGTCGCCATTTGTCGAAATTATTACGCGCAACGTTGTAGTTTTTAATTTCTTACCTCGACGTTGTCTCCCCACGCGAAGAACAATACAGCCATCAATATAGGTACCGCAGTATGTCCCATTTTTCTCTTTCGTTGGTGTCACTCGTATTTTCGTCCCTGGGAGTAACAATTCTCAAATAAACGACTCGAGTATACGTCGTTTGGTTACATCAGTTGCTGTGATGGACGGCTTCCTTATGAGGTATCCTTCCTGTGTGTCTGATCACAGTGCGCGCTCTCCCTCTCTCCAATGGCACCCCCGCTATTATGTGCAAGTGGATGTAGTCTGAACCAAGCCCTGTTTCTGCGGCGATTTTACTCACACGCGCCTCTCCTGCTTTGTTTTGGCTTGGTGAAGAGAGACATCTGGTGGTGAGAGTTGTGTATTACAGAAATCCTCAAGCCGATCCCAATTTTATGGATTATGGGAAATTACTTTTTTATTTGAACTCTGACTGTGAAATGAAATGAATAATTCTATTTTAAATGTAGGTTATATGTTGCTTGAAGCTATCCCAGGAATATTATTTGTGATCACACCTGTCTATCTATGTTCCCTAAGAAAAGTAATAACAATCGTTTAGCCTATATTTAGTTTGACAGGTGACGCGCGCACTCACTTCACGCAGGTATCTGGGCGTGGTTTAGGTGTGTGAGGAAAACCAACATTTCAAGTGTTTGCGGTGTTACCAAATGTCGATCAAACTGCTTGAAAACAATTGATTAATTTGTCTACAGCAGAGGATCTTTGGAGTTCATTTTGAGGACGGACACCGGAGAACCTCGAGGGGAAAGTTGTACCGGGGGTGAAACAGGAAGATATCGCCCAGTCTCGGTGGAACTTCCCCGGGAACAGCCACAAGATGCATTCCGCCAGATACAACGTATGTTTCTTAATTTTGCACAGTTTTGATTTGATTGATTGCATTATTTCCCTAAAATCTGGACAGGAAACTGAGGTCTACATTCTAGACTTGTCAATTACAAAATTATGGGCCTTGGTTATATAGGCCCATCACTCACTAACCATAAATGCCAACTATGAATGGTTGGTGTCACAAAATATTTCTCACTTAATCTGATTTTATAACTGCTTTATGCTATTATGGCGTCTTATTGACTCTGTTGTCAGCTCATAGGTATATTTTACTGGGGATTAGTGCTCAATGTGTGAGTAAATTACTTCGATTCTTCAAAAGCAGGTGGGGAAACAACATGAGCGGTTTTTTTTAAGAGCCCCTCCCTGTGATTCTTCGAAATCATCTGGCACCATTTGCCTATCCCCACAATCCCACAATCCCCATATGACACTGAGAAGGGGTGGATAACAATAGCTGGTTCTCATTTTCATGGGAAACTTGAGTTAAAAGCTAGCTGATTGTGCAAACGTGTAGGTCATGTTAGAAGTGGTGAATCACACGTTTGTTTGGTCATATTTTTAATGTATGAAACTTGTGATGTAATGTGAAGTGTGTATGTAGTCTACTTTATGAGCAGCAAACATATTTGCTTTAGACCTTTTTTATAAGTCTCGTGTGTTGCTGTGATATGTGCTGTTTTGCATACAGTTGAAATCTTGACAAAGTTTAATCTTTAACTGTATTAACTTTCTAGTTAAAGGAATGTTTACTGCCCCAAGTATTTTAACTAAAACGGCCTTATAAGAGGAAATGGATTTTTCTAATATGCACTTATAAGAGGTGTGGATTGAGCTATTGTAATGTAACTGTTGACATCACTTATCATTAAACTTAAAAGTTGACCCATAACCTAGTCCTCCTTCAAACAAGGCTGTTATTGTATTGCGCAATGGACACCTACTTCTGCAACATTTATAAAAGAAAAAAAGTTTTTAATAGGCTAGTTAAGTATATTTATTTTATCTCATTTAAAGAGAGAACAGACTTGTGCAATAATTTGAAATGTTTGCATATTTGATGTGATATAACTTGACACAAATATTTAGCTTTTTTTTTTTTTACATAGTCTGTTGCTCATGTGCTTATATAGTATTGTGTAAGTTTTAATGAAAACCAAACTTCCTTCAAACTCCACCTCAGTAACAGCCAACTTCCCCTCCTGTAAGACTGGTTCAGCTACTCACTATCACTCACAGCCAAATATCTGCAGCTTAATTATCACTTGTCTATGCTCAGGTTATTATAATATTTATATTTTTGGTGTTAAAATGAAACACTCTAAATTTCATAATGTTTTATTGTTCTTAAAAGGTATCAGAAATGGAAAAGTTTGCCAGTGCACTCTAGGAAAAGGCGTGGCAATAGCCTCTGCTGAAGAGCGTATAATGGCTTTATTAGGCTGTGATCACGGTGACTGATAGAGACAGACCCAGAAGCACTTGCTGACCCCATCTCTAATGATTCTCTCCATTCTGGTCTATGATTGCTGTTAAAGATTCCAATTAGAAAACATGTGTGGAGGCCCGGGCTGGATAAGAATAGACCTTAATTGCCATGAGTTATCATCTGGACTCATGTAATTGAGCCTCCATCTTAAGGGGCAGCATATCTGACAAATTGATTTAATACCAAAGTGATTTTCCATCCCTAATGGCTCTTGGGGTTCTTCACTCACAGGCTGCAGCCGCTGAATTCATTGTGTGTTGATTACTAACTGGCCTGAAACCTTTTCCTTCTATCCACCCACTTGTGAAAGCTGGGCACACATACATTATTGACAGACTTTGCATGCTTATAATTGCTGGAATAATTCTCTCAGTCCTAATGGTTGTTGTGTATATGTGGGTTATGCAGTTGTGAGTGCAGGAGCTTTGACGCAAACAGGTTCCACCAGTTCAGCTGACATGAGGTGAATCCGCATGTTAGGACCTGTCACTGTTGAAAAATACTACAAACTCCCACGATGCCTTTTGAGACGTTATATCACGTTTTAATGTTTGTGGAGGTCGCTCATTCATTTAGTCTTTGTAACCTGCTCGACCGCCTTACTTCATTTCAGTGAGTCAGCAGAGTGAACTAGGTTAGTCAGGGTTTTGTGATAAAAACACTCTTCAGTAAGGTAGAGTCAGAGCTATTAATTCACATTTTGTTTTTGTAATCTTCATTGTGCCCAAAAGGACAATTTGTTCTCTCTAGTGAATAGCATTAGTTTTCCTTATCTTAGTCATACTGATGAATTTTGCATATATTCCTGCATAATGCTTTTTGAGAAATGTAAATCCAAACACAGGATCTGATTTCTTATGTATATTTTAAAATGTAATGTTTATTATTATTAATTTGTTAAGTCTTTATATAACCTATGAAACCTTATGAAACCTCATTGAGATGACTAAACTCTTTTTTTAAGAGTGTCCTGGCCAAATGGCAGCAGCCCAAATTCAATGACACACTCATTCATATTTACGAAACACACATTATTAGATCATGATTTCCACGAGATTAATATAAATTCTAACTCAGGGTATCTCATCCATAATTTTTATTACAAAAGCTGTAAAAAGAGCTGATGAAAAATTAAATCTTTCATACATGTTACCTTTTATTGCTGCCCTTTTGTGGCTAAATTTACAGTTCAGTTACTTAGTAGGTAATATAAATATTTGTATGCAAAAAAACAAAAAAATAAATACAGTATTGCCTGTCCCTATATAAAAAATATAGTTGGCTCACTTCAAAAATTTTCACATTATTAACTTTGTACTTCTTTTGTTTCTAGGAGCCGAATGGCCAGCGTGAGGGGACTGGCTTCCTAACCAATAAACAAAAGGTTCGATCAAGGAATAAGACAGCCATCGCCGTCGGCATCCTCGTAGCTGTTCTTGTTGTGGCAGCAGTAGCAGCAATTCTTATTTGGCTTTTTGTCTGTAAGTATGAGCCCTGTCACCAAACTTATTTAACAGGGTGCTTTTTAACAAGAACTGATCAAAACTAGAATAATGTTTGGACATTTAATATGGCAACATTCTAAGTTTCTTGACATAAGTGGTTGCATTTCTGTGTCAAGTTGTAGATAAAGTGGCTCATTTAGAAATGTTTGAAGCTGCTGTCCTTTGAAATCACACTCACTAAATGTGTTTGGACACCAGTATTTCCCATTAGTATTAGACGTTTTGAAAGCTTTGAGTTGCCAAGAAGAAAGAAACTGTACTTGGTCTTATTCTGATCATTAAACAAACATGTCTATAAACTGCCTGTGCTCAACCAGAACTTTCTCTCTCTGTTCATTAAAAGCCAAACTGTTCTTATTTTATTTATGTTATATTTTACAGTTAAAGATGACACAGATCCGACACTAAGCTCTCAGCGCCAAGCATCATCTCAAGTGTTCAGTGGTCACATGAAGCTAACCGACTATACTTATGATCAGAAGTTGGAAGACACTTCCAGCCAAGAGTTCAGTGATCTGGCTCGTCAGCTGGAGGCTCAAGTGAGTTTATATAATTTATGTAACATAAAACATCCATCCATCCATTTTTGTCCACTTATCCGGGGCCGGGTCGTGGGGGCAGCAGCCTAAGCAGGGTCTCCCAGACTTCCCTCACCCCAGACACGTCCTCCAGCTCCTCCGGGGGAATCCCGAGGCGTTCCCAGGCCAGCTGAGAGACATAGTCCCTCCAGCGTGTCCTGGGTCTTCCCCGGGGCCTCCTCCCGGTGGGACATGCCCGGAACACCTCCCGAGGGAGGCGCCCAGGAGGCATCCAGAACAGATGCCCGAGCCACCTCAACTGGCTCCTCTCGACGTGGAGGAGCAGCGGCTCTACTCCGAGCTCCTCCTGTGTGACTGAGCTCCTCACCCTATCTCTAAGGGAGCGCCCTAGCCACCCTGCGGAGGAAACTCATTTCGAGCGCTTGTATCCGCGATCTTGTCCTTTCGGTCACTACCCAGAGCTCATGACCATAGGTGAGAGTAGGAACGAAAACTGACCGGTAAATCGAGAGCTTCGCCTTTCGCCTCAGCTCCCTCTTCACCACAACGGTCCGATACAGCGACCGCATCACTGCCGAAGCTGCACCGATCCACCTGTCAATCTCCCGTTCCGTCCTCCCCTCACTCGTGAACAAGACCCCGAGATACTTGAACTCCTCCATTTGAGGCAGGGACTCTCCACCCACCCGGAAAGGGCTAGCCACCTTTTTCCGGTCGAGAACCATGGCCTCGGACTTAGAAGAGCTGATCTTCATCCCAGCCACTTTACACTCGGCTGCAAACCGCCCCAGTGCACATTGCAGGTCCTGGCCTGATGAAGCCAACAGGACAACATCGTCTGCAAACAGCAGAGATGAAATCCTGTGGTCCCCAAACCGGACCCCCTCAGGCCCCTGACTGCGCCTAGAAATTCTGTCCATAAATACAATGAACAGAACCGGTGACAAAGGGCAGCCCTGGCGGAGTCCATCATGCACCGGGAACAGGTCTGACTCACTGCTGGCAATGCGAACACAGCTCCTGCTTCGGTCATACAGGGACCGGACAGCCCTTAGCAAAGGGCCCCGGACTCCATACTCCCAGAGCACCGCCCACAGGGCACCACGAGGGACACGATCGAATGCCTTCGCCAGATCCACAAAGCACATGTGGACCGGTTGGGCAAACTCCCATGAACCCTCGAGCACCCGATGGAGAGTATAGAGCTGGTCCAGTGTTCCACGGCCAGGACGAAAACCACACTGCTCTTCCTGGATCTGAGGTTCGACTATCGGCCGGATTCTCCTCTCCAGTACCCTGGCATAGACCTTACCGGGAAGGCTGAGGAGTGTGATCCCCCTATAGTTGGAACACACCCTCCGGTCCCCCTTCTTATACAGAGGGACCACCACCCCGGTTTGCCAGTCCAAGGGTACTGTCCCTGACCGCCACATAAAACATAAGAATATTATTTTGCTTAGTATTGACCTTAGTATAGACCCTTTAAGATAATAACCTACATTAGCCTGTATATGGTTGTTGGAAATGTATCTGTCTAACAATATGTCTATGTATGCTTTTAAACAGCTAAAGAGTCATTACCAGAAAGATGAACTCCTACAGCAATATTACACCAAGTCAGTGGTTACAGCTTTCAGGTAAGGATTAGATTTAATTTTTATAATGTTAATCCGCAAAGTAAATTAGTCACTGTAGCCCACTTGCAAAATTAAGTATGCAAATGAGAACATCCCATGTGAGTATTTATAGAATCAAGAATGTTTCAGATAGATGATGATCAGCTTGAGTCTGGAGTCTACAGCCAATTCTCTGTCAGTAAAACATACAGTTTAGACCAGAATTCAAACTTCAGATGAATAAATGGGTTATTTTTTAATATTAATGGGCACTGATTTAACAGTCTTGTTTATGTCATATTTCCAAGCCTTACGTAAAATACAACATAACTATGACTACAGAAGTTAAATAGACTATGATGGAAAAAGCACATAGGTAAGGGAAAATGGGAGATTGTTGCATTAACCCATTGATGGTGGTAGGTAATTGTACAAAGATTGGCACCTGTTTTGTACTTGTCATATGTAAACTTGAGCATTTAACAATATCCTTCCTATTATTATCTCCTCTCTTGTTCTCAGTGAGGGTGTGATTGCCTACTACTGGTCTCAGTTTGACATCCCGCCCGAAGACCTGGAGGTGGTCCCAGAGTTCTCAGAGGAGCGTGTCCTGGAGACGCTAGAGGCTGGAATTAAGGAGACTCGCACTGTACCACCATCGGCTATCAAAATACGTGAAATCACTGCATCACGTATGTACCGGATATTCTAAAAGCAATATAATTTCTACTTGCAACAGTATTGATGCAGCATTTGTTAAAGGTGCATTGTGTAACTTTTCATTAATAACAATATAATATAATATTGCTTTTCCTGGGAGGTTCTACTTTATAATAGTAAACAAATCTATCTCACACTTATTCAATTAAATATGTTTTTGTCGCTTACCTTATTGCTTGCCTGTCCACATATCAGACCTGTAACTTAGCCTAAAGGAATCCCTGCTTTTGTTCATGGAGTTTTTTTGCGATTTTGTGAAGCATTCCAGGCATAGCAATAATATTTCCAACCAAAAGAGAAGTTATACAGTGCTCTTTTAAATACGCCAAAAACCCTGGAGTAACTATTAATTCTATAGTAATAATTATTATAGTAGCAGAGTAATTGCTGTTTTCTTAGTTATAATTTATAGAACTAAGCTTAGTCATATTATTTTACTGTTACTGTTAGTGAGTACATGTTGGTATTCTTTGGTACAACACATGGCACATTTCACTTCTTGCTCGAGTCGTCAGTGAAGTTATAGAGAAACCCCTGTTTGAAACTCTGGTGACCATTTACAATGCATATAGATGTTTGGCATTTGACAAAAGATAGACAGTCATATGAATATGGAGCTGCAAAAGGTCATTGTCCCCTTGTATCACTGTTAAAGATACTATCAGCACACTATTTCTAGTATAGGACTGTGGTGATAAGATGATGGCAGATGGGCCAGGCCCCTGTGCTCCTGCTGCATTTGAAAGTGCACATTTTATGCAGCTTGAATCCTCTAATGATATTAGCTCAGCCTTAACCTGGCTCGAGACAGCACTTTCTCTTCTTCTGTCCACTCAGCATTCTCGTGGCATTTGTCTATTTCCTGGCCATGCGCCGAAATGCCATCCCCATGACTCAGGGATTTTACTTCTCTTCAAATTTCTGTTTGGGATTTGATGTCCCAGATGGTTAAATAGAGATGTATTATTAAGGTGCAAACTAATAAGAAGGGTTGGGTTATATGGCAATAAACATGAGATGTGATAATGTGGTAGTCTGTTATTTGGTGAAATCTTTATATTTTGATTCAAATAGTTTATTGAAGCTCTAATGGTCTTCAGAATCAGCGGGTGGCTTAAATTACCTCTTAGACCCATATGTAAAGAGTGCATGAATTGAAATTGTGATCTAGGGACAAAGACAGTCCTGATCTTAATATTTCTGCCATATCCCCTGCTCATAAGCACCACACACCACCATTATAGCTGTTCTTTTAACCGCAAAAAAGTACAACCCAGATATTTCAGCCTCATGCATCAAGTTCATTCAACCTTTCAAGTTTAGTGACCTTTCCTTACCTTTCTCATTTTTCTCTCCCTTTTATGTGTGTCCAGTTACAGATTCACGGATGGCCAGGACCCCCAGTGCCAGTGAGTACACCATGTCCCACCTCAATCTCACACAGTGGTCATTTTCCAGCTGGCCACCTCACAGTCAGCTTTAACAGATGACTGCTCCAGACTGCACTGTACACGCAATGCCACTCATCTGACCAGCAGTGTGTTCACTCGCTGTAAAATGTATTCACGGTCATGTGTAGTCTTCTCTTATCTGATCTCTTATTATGCACATATCATAAATTATTGAAAAGAGATGTTATTAATTTTGTCAGTATACATGTAAAGTATTTGTTAAACCCACAATGAATCAATCAGCAAATGGCGACAGCGTAATGAGACAGTAAGCTTGAGCACCTATAGTACAAAAGCTAATTCCTGTTCAAATCACTATTTTTTGCTAGATGAAAAGTAAGTCATAAAACCAAAACATAGCTTTTTATGGTTGTGTCATTAAGACAAAATAAATACATACATAGCAGCAAAAAGTATTTTTTCTTTTCTTTTCTCATTTTTTATTTAGGGATTACTTTTATTCAAGTTTGTTTTGTCTAAACAGTGTTTTTTTCTGTCATGTTTCACCTTAAATTAATATTTTAAGCTTTATTTAATTTATTTGTATCTGATTGTTTTGTTTCAGGAGAGTGTTTCTATACGTTGGAGGCCACCGAAAATGAAGACTCATTCACCTCTCCTGGTTTTCCCAATGCTTATCCTGCCAGGTCCAGGTGTCAGTGGCAGATCCGAGCCTCTGAGGAGAACGTCATCTCTGTCGATTTTCCCTTTTTCAACATTGAAGATGACTGTACGGAACGATTTTTGTGTCGTTTACGTACTCCACCGCTGTTTTATATGGTAAAGCTTATCAGATGACCCAGATCACAGAGTAAGTATTTGGAATTAAAGTTGGAGTACCTCCAGATGTTCAAACTGTAAAAGGTTATTTAAGCTGTGACTTTTAACTTGCTCTTAACTCTCACAAGTCATTGTGTTCATAAGCACAACTTTTTCAGACCAACCCGATCTTATCCTTAAACATAACATAGTGATATATCAAAGTCTCTCTGGTAATATCAATTGATTCCATGTCTTACAATTATATGTAGACTTCAAACGACTGTCTGATCTTTTTGTGCCAAAACAGATTTTACTATTTCACAAGAAAAAAAGTTGATTAATCCATCTTTAATAATTACAGAGCATTAAAGCTGAATGGTTAGATTACCCAAGAGGTACTCACACTACCCTTTTGCTTGCCAAATAAAAATTAAAATGTTGACAGAAATTCTAGTTTTGCCCCAAACATTCTAAGGTCTTTGTTGACAGGGTTAAATCCACCTTTCCTGTTTCTGTCATAGTATTACTTCCGGCTTAGAACTTTCTGAATTGTTCACTGTGGATCCAGTGTGTTTGAATCCCAGCCGCTCCACACGTTCTTGATTTCTTTTCTGCTTCTCCTAGCTTTTAGGAGGTTTTTATGTTACATTGACCTCTGTGAGATTGAGTTGGCTCAGAAGACTTTAAACGTGTCACTCCGGCTAGGTCACTGAACCACTTGTGAAAACTGTGTCTGCGAGATGCCGGCTTTGTAACCCCTCACAACATCATTGACCTTTTGAAGCCACTGGGAGGAGTTCTGTGCATACTTTATATTGCTATTGTGATCAACTTCCAAACTGGGTTTTGCTAAATTACGGAGACATTATCTACACTGGATAAAGGTCCGGTCATTCACACCCCGCAATCGTCACGGCTTTAATTTTACTAATAAGCCGTGACTTTGGCAGAGCACAGGCTTCTGGGAGGAACTTATATGCGTATATTTCAAGTTATATTCATTAAAATACTTCAGTTTTTTTACCTTTTCTGTACTTTTCTGGCATGCCTATTTTCTGGAAAGTCTTTTTTTTCCTTATGAGTGCTACCCTACTTCCTGGAGTGCCATCGGGGACATTTGTTTAGTTATTTGAGTGGTCCACGACCATTTATTGTTATAAAGCCTCAAGGCGACTGGTAACAGTAGATTACAACAATTCTCTAACATATGTGATAATATCCAAGTTACCAAGTGATTTGGTACTGGCTATGTTGTCCTGGCTACGCAGTTTGGGACACTGATCGAGTGAGACCTTCCGTGCACGATCTCCTCTGATGAGGCTGGTTTTTCATTCCACTGTTTCACATTGCAAAATTTTTTGCAATTAACGCATGGAAGTGCTGGGGAAAAAATAAGCTGTTTACATTCTACACATAGTCGCTCCTTTTCTAGTTAGCCCCGCTCATTACAGTGTGGTTTAAATTCACATATAACTTAAAATTTCAAACTTGTATAGTTTTGTCTATGACTCAAGTGTGGTATTTTTTTTAGTGTATTTTATAGCTTCTAACTCCCTGTAATTTGGCATGAGGAAACCACTGCGCAAACAAATTCTGGAGTATGTGCCCAAAACCTGTAGGAGAAGTCCAACATTTTTCTGGCAAGGTGAATTTATGTAAACATGCTCTGTGTATTTCTATATAATTTCATAGTATTCGAGATTGACACACAGTGATAAAGAGACTCTGCTGTAACGGCTCATCTTGGGTGCTTTGTTACTGCATTAAACATAATATATTGGATTTATAAAGAAAAAAGGGACATTACTAAAAGATCAGTTTCTACTGCAGCTTTTGCTTTAGCCATGTCTGATGAAAAGTGTATTAATATTACCCATCTTATAACTGAAGAAGAAGAATAACAACAACAACAACTGAAAAATACGAATTCAATTTAGACAGGTTAAGTACTTTCTGTTTTATCATCTCATCACTCAGAACAATGTACAAGGATTTATGTGTACTATGCATTAAAGTCTTTTTCTGTGTTGAATATTGGCATATTTAACAGCAGGTATTCACATTTATGCACTTTTTCAGGTATTGTAGCGAGGTGTCTTCTCTGTCGCTCACCAGCACCACCAATGAGCTCGTAGTTGCGTTTCATTCCGATGAGTCATTCACTGACAAAGGCTTTAGTGCCGAGTACAGCGCCTATGATCCCCAAAACCGTGAGTTCTAATGCTGTCTGGACTTGTTTATACAATTTTTTGAGAAGATGTCCAACGTTAAATTTGAACAGAGTGCACTTGCTGCAGAACAATCATTCCAATAAAGAGAGTGTCACAGGGAGTTTGTGACTGACAGTAAAATATAGTGGTTTAGTTTGGAAATTGCAGGATTGACAACTAAGTGCTTCATGAATCAGCTCAAATTGTGTTTATTGGGTTCACTCACTACTTGGGTCATTCACTGTCTGACAGCTAGACTTCATTCTGAAAAGCTTTGTTAATATCACTTTTTAACATGTCATACTGCCAGTTTATATTAGAACAGATTTTATTTCTAATTTTACAATCACACTATTAGTAAAGTAGAAAAATAATCAAACTAGTCTAGACACATCTTAAAGGTGCACTATATAATTTTTCTGGTTATACCACCTGCTTGTCATTGGAGTTGTTGCTTTCTCTGGAATCTTCCACAGCATATAACTAAAGTTATTTAACTTACATTTATTTGATTACAGGTGTTTTTATTGATAAAATACTGTGGAACATTCCAGGCAAAGCATCATCATCTCCATGGATACAAGCAAAAAGTACAACTAGATAAGTTACACTGTGTACCCTAAATGAACCTATTTAATAGATTGGTCAGTCAGGGTACAGCTCCTGTATTAACAATGAACAGCAGTGTGGATGTTAAAGAAACTCGAATTACAACTAAATTCAAAGTGATTCTCCTTTAATCTTTTCCTTTTAGCTTGTCCCAATCAGTTTGCCTGCCTCTCTGGTCTGTGCATTTCCAATGACCTGAAGTGCGATGGGCTGGAACGACTGTGGTGATATGAGCGACGAGGTCAAATGCAGTAAGTCTCTTTTGTTGACTTTTGAAGTGATTTCTTTTTCTCATTGTGGTCTTTTTTTTAACTGTATATGAGATTGATAGGTAATGATTTTTTTCCTTCAAAGATTTACATTTTTGTTTACCCTTACTGATAATATTGCAAAAGCAGCATTTAATATATAAATCAGACCTTAGCCACTACAATCCATAATTTATTAATTTATATTAATAATTAAATTATTAATTATTATAATGAGTGCATGTTGACTGTGCTAAGTGGTAACGCTACTTGTGGATGTTTTTAACATTGGGTGTTAAGAAAAAAATTTTGTTCTGTTTTCTGTAAAATGTTTGGAGACCTGTAACAAATTATTGTAATAAGGATTCTTTGGACCTTTTTTCACAGTTTTACACATACATTACATTTTAGTTCCCTTTTTCTTTAAGATAATTTGGCATGTAAAATGCTGTTCAGTTTACATTGGTTTGTGCAATGACCATGTCTTTAGTTTTCTTGTGCCAATGGCTTATGCAAACCAAAACTGTGGATTTGTGATCGAGTCAACGATTGTGGAGATGGCAGTGATGAGAAGGCCTGCAGTAAGTATTTGGTTTTAGTTAGTAGTATATAGTTAACAGTAACAACCATAACAATACAGTTGGTAGTATTGGTTGCCATCCATCTGCATTAAATTATATTGCTCTGTAGAATGCTTTGATGTTGATTTGAAACTTAGCAATAGTGGTACTTGACTCTTAGTTGTACTTTCAGTTATATATATAGATATACAAATATAGCTGCTAATCTCATTGGACATGTTATCAAAGTGGTTAATGCCTCATTGAAAGCTCTTACTCAGTTTTGTGATTGCTCTCAGACTGTGAGGACAATGAGTGGCGTTGTGGGAATGGGGTGTGTCTGCCTCAGGACGTCGCCTGTAACGGTAAACAAGACTGTGAGGATGGAAGTGATGAGGCCTCCTGCAAAACCTGTAAGTGAAACAAGTTAGTTTTATCTAAGTTTATGCATTTACAAATATGTACAATCAAGGCTGGGACTCAGGCCACAAGATCTCGTGAGATAAAGTGTAAAAAAAAAAAAAGTAGTGCTAAATGACGACAAAATATGAAAAAGAGGTGCCAAACTAAACTGCACAATTTATTTAATGTAAATAATGTCAAAAACTTTTTGTAGTAGACCCAATATTGTGCTGTGTCTATTATTATTATTATTATTATTATTATACCATAAAAGTAATAATTCATAATAATATGTAGGTACTAGGTTTAGTTACTCCAGTGTGTAGGGCAACACCTATGTGGGAGCAATTACTTAGAATGTTGACCAAAATGAAAATAAAGAAAGAAATTCATTTTATTATATGCAATTCACTGCCTAGTTAATTATCATGTATATTTTTTGCTCTATTTTCCTCACTTCTGTCTCAGTCTTTATCTATTTCCTCTCTCTCAACGCTCACTTGCATTTCCGTTTGATTTTCACTTCTGTGAGTAAAGAGGGATATTAGACCTCAACCTCAATCAATATGCTCCAATCAATGCAATCTGCTCTTCAATCACTATGCTTTGTGCATTCAAGCCTTACTTTGAAGCACTGCTGATTATGTGCTGTTTTACTGGTTAAACTTAGCAAATGCCATGATTGGAATAGGTAATGATTTTTATTTTCTCCTGTTTCTTTGACACAGTTCCTGGTATGTGCTCTGAATTCAGCTTCAAGTGTGACAATGGGCAATGTGTCAACAAGGTCAACGCTGAGTGCGACCGCATAGACGACTGCACTGATAAATCGGACGAGGCTCATTGTGGTACGAAACTATTACTATTTTTTTAAAGAATCTATTCAAATTCGTGCTAATTTCTGCTACAGATAAAAGTGAATCCAGTCTCTTCTGTGGTATTTCAAACCTTATTATGAAATGTCTGTGTTGAGAAGCATGTTGGACTGTCTGTTAGAAAGAGCCCCAAGCCTTGACTGTTTAATTTATTTATTTCTTCTTTGAAAGCATTTCTTGTCATCTCTGATGTTTTTGTTTTTTCCCCTCATTGAACCCCCAGGCTGCTCTCTCTGTTCGCTTTCATTGTGATCAGCCAATATGCCAGCACTCCATATTAGTGTTCAAGAGTTCTATTTTTTACATACTGTGTCATAATGACTTCTACTCAACCTACTTTCTCCACTCTTGATTCGTGTGTGATCAGTCATGCCCGCCTTTGACATGCTCTGCTCTCATTTCCTGTGTGAATAATGCCAGACTGCGGGACCAGGCCATATAAGCTGAACCGCATCGTTGGAGGGCAGAACGCAGAGCTGGGTGAGTGGCCGTGGCAGGTCAGCCTTCACTTCATGACCAACGGACACTCCTGTGGAGCTTCCATCCTGTCCCCTAAATGGCTCCTTTCAGCCTCACACTGCTTCATCACCAACAGCCAAGAGTAAGTATTATGCAGTTGAATCTTTTCCATTAGCAGAGATTTGTTTTTTCATAACAGTATTTAAAATAAATATTTTTTACAACAATAAAAATAACTGGGGTTTTATTGTAGAGTGATTGCATTTTATTTTATTTATTTATTTTTTTTGAGTGTAGGTTCTCTGTTGCCCTCTAGGTGGCACACTGGCCATGTTGATTGAACGTCAGCTGCTGTTATTGTCTCAGCCAAGTCTACACCTGCCCTGAACCTCAGCTCCTGTTTTTTTCAAAATTGAAAACTGCACTACAAATAGCTAAAAATAGCAAAAAGAAGAAAAATAATAATAATAATAAAAAATTGGGTTTGGCCGCTAGAGCACTTTTACATTCATTTACATATGGATGCAACATGTAATTAGCATCAGCATCATCACCTTCATCACCTATCTGCTAGTATCAGTTATTTATTTGGCAGTGACAATGAAATAGGGCCTGGTAATAAGTTAAACAGCTGATGTGATAGAGAGTGTGTCAGAGTTCAGCTCCTGTCCCTAATTTCAGTTTGGTTTATATATAGTCCTATATAGTGCCATGTGATTTAATGCACTGTTCATTCATTCTATACATGGGGGTAGTAAGCTGATATAGTAGCAGTAACATCTGTCCTGGGGCAGACTGGCAGAAGCAAGCCTGCCAATCTGCACCTCCTGCATCTCCGGTCATCACATATCATTCACACACCACATTCATACAAGGCAAGGTGGCTGTTTTGCCTGAAGACACAGTGATACTATGCACTCTAGCCAAAGCCACTGTGGCACCTGTTAGTCCCAGCTGTCTCCCATCCGAGCACTAACCAAGTCCAGCCCCACTTAGCTTCCAAGATTTGATGAGATTGAGTGGTTATTCACAGTGGCCCACAGTATGAGAGTCATAGCTCAAATCATTCACAATGGGCTGTTTACAAATGGATACAATTTGGCCTGGAGGATAACATTTTAACGTCATGAACAGATGTGGTGTCCTGGATGTATGTACAGATGTGTTCATGTGTCTGTCTCTGTTCTCACCATGTGTGTATTTCTATGGCAGAAACCGCATTCCCTCAAACTGGCAAAGCTACAGTGGCATGCAGGACCAGTACAAGCACGACGACGTACAGCGCCGCACCATTCGCCGGATCATCACACACCCGGATTACAACCAGATGACCTTTGACTATGACATCGCCCTGCTGGAGCTGAATGAGCCGCTGGTGTTCGGCAACAGCATCCAGCCCATCTGCTTACCCTCGTCCTCCCACCACTTCCCTGCAGGCATGTCCTGCTGGATCACAGGCTGGGGCGCCATGCGAGAAGGAGGTAGCACAATAGGAATCATGTTATTTCTTCGTTTACTCTTATTTCATTGTTTATGATATTTGTAGTCATGTGTTGTCAGTGGGGTTGTCAAAAACAAACAAACAAACAAACAAAAAGCAATATCTAAAAATGATTCATGGGTTTCGTAATGATGAAACCCCTTTGGCCTAGCAATTATCAATGTAAAACATGTAACACTACTAGTGTTTGGTAACCAGCAGTTCTTAACCATTCATCTTGTTAGACAGGCAGCTGTCATAGTTTTGTTTTTTATTCTTTATTCTTTATTTTTGATGCCCATTTTTTTCCCTTGAGTCCACATGAAACAACAAGAGAAATTGTCATTAATAGCCATTTTCACACAGACAGTGCCACACGTGCACCACTGAGAAGATATGTGAATGAAATGGTTGGGACACGACCCTGCTAGGATTCTCTGCACCTTGTCCGGTGCTGGTGTGTGAAAATGGCTTGTGTTACATTTAAAGGGGTAGTTTGACCACATACACATTGTTAGTTCAAATGTTTAACAATTTCACAGACAGACATATATACATGTTTGTTTGTTTTTTCTTACAGTGTTTTGCTGTTTTCACCTCCGCTCCTCTTCATTTCAGCATTTTTTCTTGTTTTTAATGTCCCACTGATTCCTCCTGCTTCTTTCCCATCATGACACACTTCTTCTCCCGCTCAGCCCTCCCTCCTGTTTCCTCTCATCTTTTTCTAATCTTCTCTATTCCATTAAGCCCTTCCCATAACCATATATCAAGACAGACATGGGCTCTCTCGGGAGTCCCCTTAAACCTTCATTAGCCAACACTAATCCAGACCATTAACACCTCTGATGTTGGTGATGAACAGAGGAGTAACATGGCATGAGTCCTGACCCTTTTGTATGGTCGTCCACACAGGTCAGGCAGCACAGTTGCTTCAAAAAGCCTTGGTGAAAATCATCAATGACAGTGTTTGTAACACAGTGACAGAGGGACAAGTCACATCCAGAATGCTGTGCAGCGGCTTCTTGTCTGGAGGAGTTGATGCATGTCAGGTGAGTACCGTAATAGCTTGTGTTCATGTGACATGATCATTCTGATCAACTACTCAGATTTTGAAACTGAGATGGAGATATATCCTGCCCATGTAGGAATGTGATGTTTGAGTCAGTAAGTGAGTGAGTTATTGATGGTAGTCGCTGTCGAAGGGACCAATGTTGCATCTTCCATCAGTGTACACCAAAGCAGTTGTGGCTACAGTTATGCAGTTGAAATTTTCAATACAATGGAGTGAATCAATAATGCACTAAATTGTGTAGTATGGTGTGTGTATAGGCTATTATAGCAAAAGAAAAAGGTGAAGAAGGAAGAGAATGAAGAGAAGAAGGCATTTCGCTGCTCTTCCAAGCAGCTTCTTGTCAGATTGCAGGTGGGACATTTTCTTAAAACTGCCTGAAGGGGGGAGCTAACTAAAATTATACCACAGCACTTAAGCTACACCAGCAGTTTGACCAGAACTGAATAAGCCTCTTGAATGAGCAGTGAAACGTCATTACTTTTGTCCAACATTTTTGTTTGAAAGAATTTAATATTCATATTTTCATATGCCATGGATCGTACCTGGATGTTTGAGGGATTACAGACGTATATTATAAATTTCTGTTCTTGTTTATTGTTAATATCTCCAATTACTGGGCATATTCATATGAAAAAAAAAACTGGCACCTGCCCTCCCTCTGATATTATTACATCATCTGTTTGTTGTGTCTAATGAACATTGTGGTGTGCTTTGTGTTGGGCAGGGAGACTCTGGTGGACCCCTAGCCTGTTTCGAGGAAAGTGGGAAGTGGTTCCAGGCTGGGATTGTGAGTTGGGGTGAAGGCTGTGCACGACGCAATAAACCAGGTGTCTACTCGCGCGTTACCAAGCTCCGGGGCTGGATCAAGAAAGAGACCGGTATCTGAAGTGGACGTATTGGTTGAAAGCGGGGTTTGGAGCAGCATCATAGTGCCAAAACATAGATATGGAGATGAACATTTGGTTGAAGTCTCTCCAAGATCTATTTCTTTAGTAGCAGACTTGCACTCAGGGCTTTGTTGAATGGACGTTTTTTTCAGCCCTCTGACCCACGTGATCACTACATTTTGTTTTGTAAATCCATCTTGCTTTTGGCGTTCTGTCATTATTGTAAACCTTTACTGTAAACAAATTACCTTCTCTGAATAGCCAGTATAAATGTTGCACATTGCCAGTTTTACCTTGAATCTAGAGTCTATTTTTTAACAGTGAACCTAATTTTATTCCCCTTTTAAAACATCAATACTGCTGGCTACAACATGAGCCAGAATCTTGGTTTTTATACTAATTAAAGCTTTTTTATTTTGTTAAATGTCAGGACAATTTTTCTTTTTACTAGCAAAAAACAGTCGTAAATTTTAATTGAATTAATTAACTACTTCAAATGAGAATTAATCCACTCAAAAGGCAATGGATATATTTGGAAGGTTGCCAGTATTTAAGACTCTGTGGTCTCTCAAAAGTGCTGATGTTGGAAGTGTGTACTTTGGACAGCACTCTTAATGTATTTTACACATTCGCTGCAGCCTTGCTTAGTTTTTGGAGGATATAACAACATTTAAATAGAAATTGGGAGCAGAGAGTTCAAAGAGGATTAGTTCAGTTTGCAGGTGATTGGTTAAAGTTTGATCATGGTTCTTGGTCACAAGTTTCTTTCTTACAACAAGTTTTTACCCCTTTAAAGCAAATACCAATGATTTTTCTTAACATTATTTATTGATGTGCAAAGAAAGTCTCACATTTTACTACACAGAGGACATGTAAATGTGTATATGCAAAATTATTTTACTAAGAAATGTTGATGTATGTTGAGAGAGTGATTTGGTTTCATGGGCTTTTTTAATGTGTCACAATGCAGAATGTTTTATATAATGTGCCATAGCAGGAATAATAAATATCCTTTATTTGATTCCCAACAGTCTAATTGCATTATCTGTGTTATTTGTCTGGGTGTCATTTTGCATCTTGTTGTGCATAATAAATGTGTGTGTTATGAGACCTTGTCGCTTCTCACAAAATCATTGTAATGAGCATGTACTCTCCTCCCCACAGCGCATACCTACTGCACAGAGGTGACGCGGCAGGCTCTGACTGCACGATAATACCTGTCTTTGTCACCGCTCTCTCCTATTACCCGACAAGACGGGCACGTTACAGTGGGGGTTCCTCCAGCTCATCTGTCTTCATTAAAAATGCGGCTCCACTGGGGGAATAGGAAAATCAACATAGACAGTGCTGCTAATTTATGTATTCATCATTGCTGCGACATGGGAGGCTTTGTTTGTTGCTGTGCCCTAAACCCAGCTAGGCTTCCGCACTCACCATGCCTCTTTCCCCAGGATTCACACCAGACAGTTGTTATCGGAAATGATTTTATTTAAATATAAATATGTGTACAAAGGTACAAGCAACAATAGCTTATTATAGCAAATAAACTTCTCAATACATTATTAAAACAATAAAAATGGATGGCAATTAGTTGTGACCCAAAAAGCATTAATTGCGTTGAATGATAGATGGACAACAAACTCTTATGAACCAAAATAAATCAACAGATAAATGTATATAAAGATCAAATTTACAGTTTAGCAGCTTGCACGCTGTACATTAAGGCTCATTAAAAATATAAAAATAAAGACAAGCGATGATCTTTGCTCTCTCACTTTAAGTGTCATTGTTCTCTTGTTGGCTGCCTCAGCCTCAGACAAATGGCAGTACAGGCATTCATACAGAAATGTTCAGAAAGTGGAACGGGCCGTGTGCACAAAGCTACGGCTCAAACATGAAATGTTCATGAAGATAAACGCTCAAGAGTTTCACTAGACACATCGTTTGCATGCAACAGAGAAAAAGTATGGGCTCAATCATTTGTACACATGATATTCAGGGTAGTACTGTTTTTGTAAACATGTCAGAATCTGGAGTGTGTGGTACACCTTTGGACTGCCATACTCTACCCATGAGCCAGACGATGCTGCTTTCAAGTTTATTTCTATTCAAGATTGCCAATACATCGTTCGAATCTAAACTCGTTTTTTGATTGTTCCATAAAAGCAATTTCTTTGTTTCTCCATTAACTTAACCTTACAAAACCACCTCTATACAGTCAGCCCCATCTTTGGGTTCCTTAACCCCTCCTGTGTCCCTCTTGGTACAATACATACATCAAACCTTTGTCTGGTAAATTACACATTCTCCTCATTACTCCACCACAGGTGTTATCCAATGACCAGCACTGACCCTCAGGCTCCACCTCTGACTGGATGTACCAAAGTTCAGTGTCTGCAGCACTGGTGGTCAGTAGAGCTAGCCTGTTGTGCAGAATCATAATAGACAGTTTCTGTGGTTAACTCACTCCTTTGTTGATGATAGACACTAATGTGCTTAGAATTCCTTTTGCATGCCAACAAAACACCAAATGGCAGACAACAGTAAATGTGTATTTCCTTGAATATCTTGTAGCTTGTAGTTTCTTCATTCAAGAAATAAGAGGCCATAGCTGATGTTTAGTAAACTCTGGAATGCAGGTAAACAGCTCCCCCAGTCGATTGGCCATTCATATTGATGAGAGTACAAAGTTGGCCCTTCACTGGCAGAATACCTCCATAGTCTGATTGAACACATGGAGATAACCTGATGAGGTATCACACTTATTTAGAAGCTCGAACATCACTGTCTTTTGATTGCTCCAGCTTCATTGTTGTTCCCTCTAGAATGGGCTTGGTTATTTCATAACCAAAATGACTTCATCCAAATACTGTTCAAAATTCCATTAAGGACCATCCAAGTAGAGAAAGTCACTGAGTATGTTAGTCCACACAGCAGTTATCCACTAACTGTCTTTTTGTTTAGTCCATCAGACATGAGTCTGCATTCGCTGTGAGGGCCGCCCATAGTCAGACTGCTGGGATGACACCTGTGAAGACGCGTAAGAGAAACGAGATGAACTAGACACTTTGCTAGCCTGGTCCGATTGGTCATAAGCATCCACCTTCTCATAGGAGGCAGGTTTGACATAGCTGGTGAAGGCGCGGCCATAGGGCGCGGGCAGGTAGGCAGAGCCGCTGTACACAGGGTCTGTGGGGTACATGTTTCCCTGCTGTGCCGGTTGCTGCTGCTGCGTGGGCTGCTGCTCATAGGAGGAGCGGCTCACAGTGTTGGTGGCATATCTGTGGGCGAACTCATAGATCCGAGGTTGGGTGCCGTGCTGGCCGTACACTGGGCTCGGCGAAGGCAGCTGGGAGGGGGTGTAGACTGGACGAGAGTTTGGGGCAAACTCCGATCCGAATCCAGAGCCTCGAATGTGCCGGTCATCATGTCCACGCACATTATAATATCCATTGGTTGGATCCTAATAGAAAAACATTCAGTAAGTATACTTCAGTCAAATGTGGAAGAGGCTATCATCGCTGTGTACATTAAACTTGGCATTTTCTAATCATACAAAGTATGCACTTCGCACCTTAATGTCTGATCGTTCATCCTCCTCCTCCTCCAGTAGATCGCTGTGTTCTGTGCGGGATGTCCCGGGAGACTCGCTGCTGTTTGGAGCCTGAGGGAAGACCAAGCATGTGAAAACATTACTAAGATGAATCTCATTTGAATAAGCGCAAAACAAAACTATTAGGGTTGATGTCAGATATCTTAAGCCATTATTAAAGTCATCAGTAAGTATAAAAAAGTTTTACCATGGGCTCTTTGACATCCTCCTCATCGTCATTGCCTCGGGTTGCATTGTGATCACTGTGAACTATCTGAACTCGGATATCACTCTTGGAGAGACGGGTGCATCTTTTACCTATTGACAAAAATCACAATTTTTTTTTGAATATTCAAGTGACTACTATAAATATTAAATGTTTATATTATTAATTAGAATTGGTAGTTCATACTAACCGTTGAGCTCACCTTTGCCTGTGTGTCTGCAGCACAAAGACACCAAAGTAATGACACATATGAGGAGCACACAGCCTCCCCCAACCGCTCCTCCAACGATGATCAGCATAGGCAAGGCTTCTGTAACAAGAATAGTATAAGAATATATGGTAAATTACAAGCCTGCATCCAAATGACTATACAAAGAGGAATAGATCGATGAATTTGTCTTGCTAACCCCACACCCGTCATTGGCTATGTAAATTCATATGTCATGAGCTCTGTCCTTCTCACAGCTAGCGTATGTTATTATGCTATTGCTGCCACTCCGACTTCACACTGCCTGGCCATTGTCTGTAATCTCTGTGAGAGGAGGGTAATAAGGCCTGACATGCAATGAAGCAATAGACAGTAATCTAATTAGAGATTCCAGGAGATACCACTAGCCATTTCTCCGGAGACCCCACTCCACAGCCTTGATGTAAATTACTGCTGAAGACCTTTTTTGGTGTCTGCCGCAACAAAGGCTCATAATACAACAGTGTGTAGTAGCAGTGGCTAATTCTCACATGACCTAATGGGGCAGGGATGCTGGGCTGGGCTCAGTTACAGTGATACATAATATGAGCGTCACCACAAACACATGTGGTTTCCTTTAATTGACTTTTGCCCCTAATCAATATCTATGTTATGGGGCAAACATATTCATTAAAGGAGCCATCTGCTGATTAAATCAAATCGATTAGAGGAGTATAATTAAGATAAGCACAGGACGAGCCTGGTGCTTCCACTTAATCTGGCCTCTTCGCCACTCTGAGTATTAGTAAAACAGATAGGGTGATGTACCTTGCTCCTTTAGTGTAACTAGAGCTGTGCCGGTGCCAAATCGGTTCCAGGCGGTGCAGTTGTAGCGCATCTGGAAATCCTGCGCCAAAGTCTCGGACAGCACAAGTGTCGACACCACCCCGACACTGCTGGTGACTGTGTGCACCGAATAACGACCAGAAGAGCCCGAGGACAGAGTCATGTCTCCAAAAGTCCACACCTAATGAGGGGAGCAACAGGGAGTTAGTCACATCTTTAAAGAAGACACATGCTTTTTTTTCAAATAGGTAATTATTTTACATTTTGTTCATTTTTAAATAACATTTTGATCTAAAACATCTTAGGAGTAGAGACAGGGTCATAGACTGAAAGGCCTCAACTTAACTTGTATGACCCTGAGTCTGAATCTGAAAGTAAATAGTGGGTAGAAATAGTAAGTAGTAAGTAAAAAGTAAGTAGTGGGTGGAAATAGAAAGTAAGTGAAAACCAAACTTTTTCTGAGCACTCGTCCCTCGGACAATACAGGATTATTCAAACTTGCATAATTATTATAACATGGTTCAAGTAGATTTTACATAATGCGCCCCAACAACAGCTGTCATGAGTTCTAGCACAGGTAGCTGTTTATCTTTACATCCTCACTATACGCTACTCTCTCCGCCCTCCCTCTGCTGACCTCTGAGCGGCTCTACCACTGACATAGCTCACGGGCTCATGTTTAAGCTGCCTCCCACGTGTGCCCTGTGGGTGAGGCCTAAGGAGGGTTTGCTCACTGCAGTATGAAATAAGGCTGCTGTGTGCTGTCTCCAGCTCAGGGCCAGTAGGGCACCTGTCTCTCACTCCTCCTCACACCCTAATTATCCCCTCTCAGCCCAGTGTATGCTCTGCGGTTCAGTGGGGTCAACTGAGTGATGCCTCCTGGGCCGCTAATTGAATGCACTTTGGCTAAAACCTGCTGGAAACCTGTCTCCTGCAGCTCTTCTTGGCACTAGTGTCTTTTCAGTGAAAGTTAGCGCAATTACAGTTGTGAATAAGTGTCTGTTTGTTAGTGGGTGAGATGTGAAGGTAAGGTCAGGGGTAAAACCACATTGATTAGCCACTGTATAGCTGTGATGGCGTATGTGTAAGGTTCCCTTCATATAGAAAATGACTTGAAAAAAGAAGACGCGGCACTTACAATCTTATCAGGTGGGGGGCTGCTTCCCACTCTGCACTCCAGCTTGCCCTTGGAGTGCTTGATGGCGTGCTGTGTGGCATCTGCTGTGATGATAGGTGGGCCTGGTGCGAAGAACAAAGCGAATAGCAGAACAATGAAAACCCTATTAATATTACACAGCCATCACATGTTAATTCTACTGTATAGGTTTAAATAAACGCCACTAACCGTTTACAGTTAGAGTAACGTCTCTTTCTGCCACTCCAATCCGTGGTACAATGGCCTTGCACGTGTAGACCCCCGCATCCTCCTGGGTCACAGCCTTCAACTGCAAGGTGTTACTGTTACTGAGCACCTGGCGAGACAAGACAAGTGAGAAGTGAAAAAGGTGCATGAGCAAAGCTAATTCGACACGCGAGGACCTCTGCGTCGGCTGCAGTAAGGTGGGCTGGCCGCTGTAACTAATGCTAGTGTTTTTGAGTTTAATTTCATTGTGAAGAGCCTTAATCAGAGCATTAAGCACTCAGAGCGATCGTGCTGCTGGGAAGATTGTTGTAATTAAACAGTGGGGACGGATGGTCGCATAGCGTGGTGTGAGTGGGCCCTAGCCTTTGGAGTAGCCTCGCTCACTCAGTGCTCCTTAGCTCATTGATCCTGTCATTCCATCATGCTGTGATTAATCCTTTTACCCCCCCAACCCACCCAACCCACATACCCACACCCACACACACACACTCTCTCTCCTGCCACTGCTGCCCACATCACTCCCACTCTTCAATTTTTTATTTCAGCACACTTATGGAGTAACCCAATTAATCCATTACTTGTAGCGATGTGAGGGACAGTGGCAGTAGGCGGATTAGAAAAAAACTCCTGGCGTGATTTGCTCAGAAAGGCTAAAAGCTTTCACTCTTAAGGGCTGACAGCATCGCTTACGCCATCTTTTTTTACTGGGGTGTTTACTCCAGCACCACCTAAGAAATTATATTAGAAGCCCCTCTGATGTTACCAGTGATGGGACAAGCTAAGAGACTTTTATCGGATGATGTAGAGCTGCGATGGAAACGTCCAATTTGGTTTTTCTACCAAATTGATTTAGAGCAAATTAATGCTCAAGTGTCTAATGTGCTGGAAGCCTACATAGAAAGAAAATCTGGAGCAAAATAACTAATGCTGAGGTTTATAGAGGTGGAAAGAATATAGTGAATACCAGTACTGCAAAATTATATTACACCAGTAAACCTTGACAATATGTAACCACATACTACTGTAAATGTGATGGTGGTTTTCAGACTCTAGAAATTAATTATGCCATACTCCCAGATAGGGGCAAGAGCCTGATTGTCCTATTGATTACTTGGTATTCTCATAATAAATATCTTAAAGGTAAATACACACAGTCCCAGTCACTTAAATTAGTCACTAGACTCTTGAATTTGCTATATTATAACAAAAATCAACCATTTAACAGTATTAATTTGACCTTCTCCCAATCTGTATATCATCAAAAAACCCAGAAACTGAAGCAAAGGCAACTGTTCCTCAACACTGTATGAACTGATCTTTCCTTGCAAATTAACAAAATAAAGACTACCCCAAAATCTCTGTGTTTTCTGTTACTATCCAACTGAACACAAATGAATGATTGATGAATATATGGCAATGCTGCATGAATATGTCACAGGACAGTTTTCTGCCAGAGGCCTTGATCCCAGAGGGAGCATGAGAGAAGAGGTGTTGAAGCCTGAGCAACATGCGAGTGTGAAGGGGATGTGTGAGGGATTCATGCCTGTAGGCCCAGGACTCTCTGGGGGAAACAGTGTTGAAGCCTGGTGTTGAAGGGGCTTTGCTACCAAAATAAGGTGGCGACTAATGCACACTTCCTTACCACATTGGAGCCTTGCTTTGTCCAGGCCAGGGTCAGAGGAGGGTTCCCGGTCCAGGCACAAGTGAAGGCAGCGTCCATCCCCATATCCACTGTCATTGGCTTGGGCTCCGAGAGAAGTCTGGGGCCGACTGGGGTGAAGCAACATAGAGCAGCAACTAATCAATACATGCTTGGCTTTGAAAAATAGCATAAACAGAAAATCATGAAAAACGTAGCTTACACTGGACATCCACCAGAGTGCTAACATTGGTGCTGCCGACGGAGTTGGACACCTCACAGGAGACAGGGTCCGTGAAGAAGGAATAGTCAACTGTCACCTCCAGGCTGTCCCCGTTTGCCTCCTTAATGGGGACTCCTCCTTTAGACCACCTGGGACACACCAATAATCACATTATACACTTGCATTAGTTCGGGGAAGGCACTTAGCCAGGCGTGACAAAGTGGCTATTAGCTGATTCATGGCTCATGTCAATCTCAATCAAACTCTGCCAATCAAGCAGGCTATTTATCCTCTGCTCCACAACAAGCACATACTCGACCACAGTTCAAATGTGGCTTATCTAGCACAGGCTTAACAGTATGGACACATCTGCTGGCTAGGGCATATCCCCGTGTTTACCTGTATCCAGTGATCTCTGGGTTGGCCGAGGCAGAGCAGATAAAGAGGACCTTGGCTCCCTCCGTCACTGTCTGTGGCTGGACTGATAATGTCACTGCAGGAGGGTCTAAAGTAAAAAAGAAAATCACTTAGTATTAGGGCAAAAGGAAGAAATATAGATATGAATAATATTTTTACAACAATCTGTAAGTAGGTATAATGTTAATCTTTTTTGGTTGTTGACTAATATGATTAGTTCTTTTAAAATGTCACTCGTCACAAACAGAATTTAGTCGAATAGTTCGTAGCTATTTTAAGGGGCCCATATTAAGCAATTTTCTTATCTATGTTAAAAGGTTGTTTCCTCATCAAAACATACCTGAAGTTGTGTTTTGTTTCATTCACACATTTTTAACACACAATCCCTGCATATTTAGTTGCGAGTTCTTCTCGCAAACTGAAAACACTCCATCTTGTTCCGCCTTGTGATGTCATGTGGTAATACAAGAAGTCCTACACTGTGTTTTAAACTCCATACAATTTCACTAGAATCATTTGCATTATTTCAGACCTGGAATTGCCAATCTCTACTGAACAAAAGGTAAAAGGAGCTGTTAACTTAATGATGTACCACTTGATGGCATCACAAGGTGGAGCAGAGCATTTTGAGCTTTTAGCCTAATAATGCAGATTACTCAAACGTGTGAATGAAACAAAACAAAACTCCGGGCATGATTTTGGGGAGGAGACAACCTTTAATGCATGTTTATTGGTAAATTTCTATACAGGCCTAAAAATCCACCAATATGGCACTACCACTATGTTTTTATATTATATTTTAAAGAGTTAAGCCAAAGTAAAAATTCATTAGCATTTTGATAACTGGCTAATGCTAATTGGCTAATATCAAAGCCTTCTATAATCCCAGTAGTGTACTCACGCTGGACATTGATGGTGATGGATGTTTGGCGTCCCGCGGGGGCTGCTGGGTTGAGCACACGGCAGGTGTAGGTGCGTCCGGAATCACTGTCCTCCGGAACAATGGGAAGCATACTGACAGCTGACTCCCTCTTCCCGTCCTCCATTGGCGTCTACAATAAAACAATAAAAATGCACTTTATACCAGCATGTCGTCCGTGTAGTTTTACAGTTAAATACATTACTAATATCAAGTAATGTTAAGAACGTTTATGATACAACGTAGTAAGATGCTGTTTGAGAATGCATTTACAAAGCCCCCAGTGACACAATGAGTTCTATTTTTTAAGTGCAATGTATTAAAATTGCCATCTCCTTCTTTGACGTGGCTGTTAAATCATATATTTTACGACGCAGCTGGGAATATTGTGCTGGTCTCACATTTCTGAAAGTGTTCCCCGTCAGCGCTCCTTGTTTGTCATCATCTTTTAAATCTATTTACTGCTCCCAGAAATCAATACACCTAAGTGAGGAAAGGTGTAGATTCCCAAGATGTGGCTTACTGCTTTCTGACTGAAACACATATCAACGTCTCGCATGTAAAAGCGTGAATGCCACTCTGGCCAAAGACTTTTGTTTACTGGATGCACATGTTTGGGAAAAGCAAGGGCAAGCTGAGCCTTCTCCCTGGTCACGTCAATGGACCCTTTCCCGACCACAGCTGGACGCAGAAAGTGTTTTTATGCTAGATTAAATCACATCGCTTCCTGTCACCACCTCGTGTGTAGAGTGCTTTCCATGTCCGCTACTCCTGACTGTTTTGAATGTTGCCATCACGCATCACTATTTTTCTTCCATTCTTCCTCCTCAGCCCCAGCCTCCTCCTATCACTTCTTCTTCTGCTTCTTCTCAGTGCAGGCTTCCTAAATGTACCGTTTAGCGTCGTTTAGCGTGGTCAGGGAGCATGAAAAATGTGACACTTTTTCCCAGCCGTGGCAAGCCTTACGCTCCGGCGCATTCCCATTGTATTTCTGCATTGTTGTGGCTGATTTCTCCTCCACAGAAAACTCTACTGTATGAAACACTCATGCCTGTCTGAGCTTTGGCATGCTCCAGTTGTGCTCTAGTGTGGCTGCATTAGTGAGCAGGGGGATAGACGGGGGAGGGGATGGGGGGGTGGAGGAGTGTGTGTGCATGTGGGGTGGGGGGGGTGAAAGCATACAGGAGGGGGGCTGAATGGGCAGGCAAAATCCAAAGGTGGCAAAATATCAGAGCAATATCAAAGACCATTAAAGGTAGATGGAAAAAAGGTCATTTTAAACAGGACATTATGCTCTAGACTGATTGACACATTTATTATTTTTATGTAATATATTTTTATAGAACATATTTTGTCTATTTTACTCATATTCTTAACTTACGTGGCTTTGGAAATTGCTCAAGATGTAGGTTTTTAAATCCAACATTTGCTTAATATGTTTCCAGTGCATCAAAGCTGCAGTAGTGCATCAATTATTTAGTCAATAGAAAAATTTAATGTTGCTCATTCCCAGTAGATTCTCAAGTGTCTTTTTTCTATTCAAAATATATCATATTTTACTTAAAATTGTTAATTGCTATGGTAACTGTAACTCTTTCATCATTCTGCAACCCTTAAACATCAACGATTGAATGCTGCTTTTTTGTGTACCTTGGAGTAAATGGCTGTCTCCATGACTTCTCCGTCTCTGTACCAGGTGATTTCGGCTGCTGGTTTGGCTCCTGAGGCTTTGCAGGTGAGGTTGTGTGGTGTGTGGGCTTTGAGACGCACCACTGGACCGCCCTCCACCACCGGGTCTGATGGAGGAACTGCACAGAACAAAACAAATAAATACTTAGAACAAAAACTCATTCCAGCTCCAGACTCCTGTACGCTCTCACTGATATTGGACTGGAGTTGCTCTTAGCTCAGCAACAATAAATTGCTACAGCAACACCAACTACATATCCTAGGTTTTTCATCTTAACAGGTTGTGGATTAACAAACAATTGTCATTTATCAGAAAACATAAACAAATAAATATAAACCTTATTTTCTTTCTTGGGACAAGAAGTATTGCTCTATTTGCTCTTACTGTTGCAGAGTGATGTTTCAAGTGAATTGCTTATTTGTTCATTTATTTGCATGGTTTCGCACGCACCATTGGCAAGCCAAGCATGCCAGCCCTGATGAAGGCGCCTATCTCCCCGGCCAATAAGAGAAGGCGTAAACATGGAGTTTGTGCTGCCCTTTCTCGCTCTTTCCACCGAACCAATTTCACTGTGTGTATCTGAATTGTCAGAGGTCCTTCCGCTGCCGCGCTACGGACACTAATGGAATCCGAGCGCTAGGTGATTTTAATTTCCATGCCGATTCCCCTGACTGCACTCCTGCGTTGACTCCTTTGACTGTGCCGGATTGCTTTGGTGTCGTCTGGCCACATTGATTCGCACACACACTAAACAGCCCTTTTCAACCCCTGTGTCCACACACAATCATGGGGTCTAAAGCAATGCATCTGATTCATTTTATGTAGATGTAACATTTGCGAGCCAGGCTTTTATAGAGCTTTAAATGGGATTTTAAGTGGCATTATCAACTTTTGTTCCAGCCTCCACGTGGGCATCTTTGACTCATTGTGTGGGCAGTGGATGACCAGTCTGCCTGAGGACCTTTGCTTTTTTGCAGTGACACTAAACTTTTGAAAGGTGGGCAGCCTCAGATGATCCCACAAAGCATAATCACAAACGGCTTGCCTTTCCATGGCAACCCCATCTGTGGCACTCATCTCTGACTACATGAACTGGCACCTTAATGCCAACAGCTTGACTCAAGGACAACACACTCTGCTATAAGAGCCTTGTAATTCGTCCGAGTCTACCCCTCTTCAAGCTCGTAAGCAAATATAAACACAATTGACAGGTTTAATTAATAGACTGATGTTCCTTTACATGCCAGCAGATGCCAGCAGTGCTATGCCACATCCATCTCCCAGAGGACCTTCCTCCCCTCACCCCTCACTCACTATCTCTCTCTCTCTCTCCTTCGTTGGAAGTCCCACATGAAGAAGTAGATCACTCACATCATGTTAATGTAAAAAGCGCAGTGCAGCTGACAAATGTTGTGGCTCATTGTAAAATGTGCTAACAGTGCAAACCCTGACTTTCAAGTGACGCGGAGAGTCATTTGTGACTACAGCAATCACATTACCCCGGACGTCCACACCGCCGTGATTATCACTTCTGAGGCACAGGGACAGGCCATATTTTTCCAGAATCTCTTGGCTAAGCATTAATATGAGACATTAGGGGCGTGAACTTGGAAGAGATATTTGTCATGTTCCTCTGGTGAGTCAATGGTAAATAGTTTGTTGTTAATTGAGAAATCTAGTTGTTGTTGCACTGTGTAAAAGCGTACTGTAGGAAAGGGAATTAACTGTCACAACTTAAGTTTGAAATAAAATCAAAATGACTCTGAAAACGTCTGCCAAGACTTGTCTCACTTAACAGTATTATATATTTAATGACAAGAGACCTAGGCTCACAATCACATACATTTTAGTTCAGGGAAAAAGCTTTTACTACACAAACCAAAACAACCAAACAATTAGTCCTTGTAATCAGCAAAGTCTGAGCCTCAAAATAAATAAAAAAAACTCTTTATATTAACCTAAACCATGTTAAATATAATTTTATATATGAATGCTTTATTAAATCTATGTCTGTTATATAACCATATAAACACATAAAAAATCTGTATTTACTAAAGCATTGGTTCCACACCTCACTACTGCACAGTGCTGTAGGTATAGTCAATACCCTTGTGAGCTGTAATGAAGACACTGCCTTGATTGGCTGCCTGTCCTCCACAAAGGCGTGCTGTGTAGATCATGTTTCTTACCTAGTACAGTGAGTTTGGCACGGTGGGAGCGCAGTCCTGCCTGTGTAGCCTGACACTCATACACCGCGTCATCCGCCAACTCAGCCGAATCGATCAGCAAGCTGTGCTCGCCTGATAGTGGGTCGCCCATTAAGGAGTAGCGTGTCCATCCTGCATGAAGCCAACAAGGCGAAAGACATTAGAGAGGCAAACAAACCATAATAAACATATAAGGAACTGACGTGTGCCTACAACAAGAGAGGAAAAATAGACAGAAAGCTCATTATGGCGGCATTATGAGGTGGAATACAAAATAAAGCTGGGATGTTAAGGTCAAGAGGAACCCTCACTGCTTTCTCTCCACTTCTAAGCACATTTAAATGCCAAGATGTGACAAGAAACAATTGATTATCTACCTTCTTACAAGACTCTTAAAATGCTAAAGAATAAATTAAAGTTTGGTCTGCGCAGCTGTGGTCTGCCTTCATGCAGTACATTGCTCTCTCCATTCATTTGTGTAAAACCTTAACAGTTGACAGAGGAGGCAGTGTTTCTAATGAGATGTGGCATTGATCGCAACAAGACAGAGCGAGATGGGGGAAGCAATAACGCCGGTGTAGTGAAGACAAACGGATAGTGTAGTACCTGGTAAATCTCGTTCTCCTCCTAATGCCAAGCCATCTTTGGTCCATTGCACCATCCCTCTGTAGCCCACAATGACACAGGGCAGCGTCACTGACTGGCCCGCAACCACCACTTGGTCCTGGGGCTGCTGGGAGAAGTAGGCTGCTTTGGAGGCCCCTGGAAGAAAGAGCGAAAAAGCAATGTGAATATAGTATTTAGTAAGTATGAATCAAAAGAAGCGTCATGAAAGAGCAACCTGCTTGTCTCGTAGAAATTATTGCTTTGCCAGGAATGTTCCGTGGTATTGTCTCACACTTGTCTGTACTGGATTTATTGATAAAAAGTAGGTAGCATGGTAATGTTGTTCTGCTCGTCTTCACAGGGACAGGTGTTATGCCAAACTTACATTGTGTACCTTCGAGATATAGGACAAAAAAATTCAATAAACTAACTCCAATCTGTAAAATAAGTCATATTGATTTTGAGATGCTTGGTGAGTTTATTGAATGTAGTTATGAATTTTTGAATAGAACCATCGTGGAAACAACTGGACCTTCTTTTAGACATAACTTTATAGCAAAGTGGGCTGCAAAGTTCCCTGTATATTAAGTACAAACTGATGTTAACACAACCTGAAATGCATAAAATAACACGTCATTGTGGATTCTAACACGCTCCGACGGGATGGATGTAGCGAACATGTGAAAACTGTGGCTTCTTGAGTCAGCAGCGCCTCATAAGTTATTTAACTCTTTTCCAACACCATATGGTTATCTGCGTGTTGGCATGAAGCAAAGCGCCATCTCGGGAGGAAAATCTGCCTGTCGTGCTTGTGCGGGTGCTTTTTAGTAAAAATGGATGTTAAACAATCAAAACTCCATTAAAGTTCCCCCGGGATCCATCCTTTTGAGGCTGCTAGGAAAATTCAACCGAGACACACCTGCTGCTGCTTGGGCTCTGTGTTTAAGTGCGCTTAGCTTACTGAGGAGTCTCGCCGGATTGGTTGGTCTGGCTTCACACACAGGAACAAGGAACGCAGCATGAATACGGATCCGGCGCCTCAACAGTTTGTGCCTCTATATGCTAAAGATTGAGCATTACAAACCCTACTGGCAGGAGAAAGATGGCAGCGCTCCAGAGGTAACTAATCCACACGAGGAAGGTAGAAGGAGTGCATGGTTGGTTATCGAAGTGGGGAGCCTGTGTGAGTCACTTGGGGGGGACTTAAACTCTTCTTTTTTTTACTTCTTTGTTGCATAGTGGAGAATTGTGGGGAAGCGGGACAGAGAAAGATAAAGAGCGTTCTATTCAGGCGGTGTTAAGCCCCCTCCCTCCTTGGCTTCTCTTGGTGGGAGCGCTTAAACAGACAGGCTTGGACACCCCTCACCCCTCCCTGTCCAGATCCAAGCAAAAGAAAGCTGCTGAAAAGGAGGGCAACATACGGCAGCCAGAGACGCGCTATTGTCCCCTTGTCCCACTCTTTTAATAGGCCTCTTCATTTCTAATCAATCCTGCTAAATGCAAGTTTAATAGCTTTTCAATAGGAGCTTTTCCCCCCAGAGGGTAGCTGGGATTTTCTCTCGCACTTCTCTCACCCCTGTTCTCGTTCCCAGCTCTACCCCCTCTCTTTCTTACTCCATTCTCTCCAGTTTTCTTTGGTTTACAAAAGTGCACGTATGGGGGGGGGTCTTTGAAAGGTTGTTGGTGGAGTTTATTCCCGACTCAATTATCCACTTCATCTTGGGGCACACAGTGAACTTAACCCTGCCCTGTATCCCCTAGCCCCTGCACCCTATACTCCCTCTGCAAAAAGCAATACAGCTAAGTGAACTCAAAGATCTCTGGATGTTTATTTAAACTTTCTCTAACCGAAGACCCTAGTAGAGATGTGTAAACATTAAATAGTACTTTTCAACACACAACAATTTTATAGCTTTCCAATACACTTCTTATGTAGTCTTCGCAAAGATTGCAAAGTTCACTCTATACTGTATACGCACCCTGCTAGATGGATCAAAAGGGACCAATTTAAAAACTTGAAATGAGAAATGAAGCAGGCTATTACATGTTTAGCGGAGGCTGGCATTTCCTCCTCACAGCCAGAGAAGTGTCGTTGCTCCAGTCACAGTTAATCTTTTGGGAATTTATACACTTTTTACCCACAATAGTGCAAAACATCAATTGCAATTAAGCATCTCGCCTGGAGTAACTAAATGTTTACAATGATAATAATAACTCCGCTGTGTAGCCTGATTGTTTTGATGGATTACATGCTCAGAATTGTTGTCTTTGCTTCACCCACGTGCAATTTTGCATGCTCACATATGGCAATTATCATCGCTCACAGTCTCATGCATACGTCATGTTACAAATATAAAGTACCCAGTTCGCCGCGTACATCCATTGGCGCTCTTATTGAAAATGCTCTACAGAACATCTCCACTGGCTAATGACTCATGCCAGATTCCTTAATTCCTCCTTGCTGAATTAGACAATTCTTTGACGGTGTATTAGCAGCTTAATTACATGAATACATTTCTGATGGAGAGAGAGAGCGAGGGAGGAATGGAACAGAAAGTAGGCAAAGAAAAAGTGCAGAATAAATGGGGAAATGTGGGTGTGAAAGGACATGCTGTGCTGCAGAAACATACACAAACATGGCCCTGGATCCACCACAGTCTTGGTATGAGCTGCTCCTGTTGGCTAGAAATGAATCAAAAAAGGGCTACAGTCTCTGTGAAATTCACATATTTTTCCCTCTTTGACTTTGTTTACCACAACACTGCAATGTGGCTGTATTTAATATATCGCAGGAACTTACTAAAATACTTAAACGTGCACAGGGTAACTTTAATGGTGGAGGGTCCTATGTGGTTGTCTTCATGGAGATGTTATTGCTTTGTCTTGAATGTTCCACAGTACTGCCTTGACTCAATGTGTTTTTATTGACTTAAAAAAACAAAAACAAAACATTCTTACTATGAGTGGGCTTGCCTCTCCACAGATCTGATCCTGTACCTTGGCCTTGTGGCATCACTTGCTGATAAATATGTGTAATGCCATACTCGGAAACACTTGCAAGCAAACGCACTAACTTAACTCTTCATGGGGTGAAGCTTATAACTCCACCAGAAAAGTTACACAGTGCACCTTTAAGGTAAAATTAGCATATAGGCAAGGGGATAGGGCTTATAGTCAGCTGTAATCAGAAATAAATGGTTTAAACATGAAACAAGAGCTTTCGACTTGTGTATCTAATTCCTAGCATTGGGCAGTGGTTGGCGTCAAATATTCTGGAAAAAAATCTCAATTTATAGAGACATGGAGCTAGCACAAAGACTTCAGGTGATCAAGATGAATTATAGTTGCATTATAGTGAAGTGAAGATTCTACCAGCTCCCTACGGGGATTGTATTTTCTCATTACAAAAATTCTTACCTTCCTCAGAGCGGGTATATGCATTTCTATCCCTCAGTAACAAGGTCAAAACATTCGGCCGGATACATTTTAATCCGGATTTCTCAAAGTGGAATATCGTTTCACGCCGACGGTGCACACAGGGCTAAGTTTGCCTAAATGTGTATGCGTTTATGCTTTATAGTGAGAGCTGACTCTGCATGTCGTCTTGGTTTAGCACATCCAAGTGTGAGGCATTTGCATGTGTCACTGAGCAGACACAGAAGCAACAAATCATAGCTACAGTTGTTTCTTTGATTTTTAATTTGTATCTAACTACATGAAGGTATTAATTTCGCTACTTGTTTGTGGAATTTAATGTGTTATGTTCATTAGACATATTGCCCTTAGTTTTTGCTCATAAAATTACTCACACGGCCTTGTATTTTAATGATTTATACAAGCTGATTTGAATAGTTTATACATTTTTGGTAATCCTTATTAGGCAGGGAAGTAAGCAGCATGAAATGGGGCAAAAAGAGGGGAGAAACTTTCAAGAAATGATCAGGGCCTATAGCAAAAGTTCCCAAAACAACCCTTGACCATCGTGCTACAGTTTCCATTACTCTACCAATGAAGATAAAACATAAGAGCTGGAAAAGCATACTTGACAATTGAGTTATTATTGACATACTAACTTCAGCCAGTCAGTCACATGGGTAGGGCTAAGTGCAAACCGGGACTTGGACATAACCTATTAAAGAGCTTTTACAACCGCACTAAACCCATGCTCTCTCCTTCCATCCCGACTGATACAGAGGCATGGGCACGGATCAGGCAGAGACGGACAGATGTCAGCAATGATCCATCCACATCTGCACATCTGCCTCCAGTGAATTAAATTGAAACAGTCACTCCGTATGTGTGTAACGGGGCTAAACCCAGAGAAAGCTAGTGCTACTACAAATGACCTTTAGATGAAAATGTGGATTTAACATGCGCGCTACTCATTATCAAGTCGTAGTCGTTATAATGGGACAGACTAAAATAGGCTTAAAACTCACTCGAAACTACTTGTGATATGGTTTGGAGAGGATGGGCGATGCTCTGTATTAGTTTTTATGTACTCGATGTCCATTTTAGCATGTTTTTACAATAGCACTTAACGCTATACATAAAAGATACTGTTTCCGCCCTCATCTTCATCCAATCTTGTAGAGTCTATAATATAAGTGCTCTCAACTCGACTGGACAATTTGCTTCACGCAGGAATAATTCAGAACTGTTCGGAAAAAACGCTAGTGGTTGGTATCTGCTATTGGAGAGGGGAATCGGGTGCCCAGCTGCTAAGACTCCTCCACAATGAGAGGGGAGAAAATGAGCTGGAGAAAGAGAGAGGCAAAAACAACAACACAAAACAATTGGCAAAAAGTGTCAAGCTTGGAATAAACAACCCCTTTCCCCAAATGCCATCCATTGTGCCTTGTCTCGATAAGGCTTCTAAATCGGGCTGGAAAATGCGTGCACCCTTTCTCTCTGTATGGAATTATTATCCCTTTGTTTTGAGCCGGCCTCTTTTGTCTTTCCTCTGCGCGTGCATTTATACAAACAGATAAAGTATTGCTGAGGTAGTTGAACTAGGGTCCCATGGGAGAAACTTTGCGCCCATCTTCCCGTTTGAGCCGTCGACTAGGCTCATTAGCGTGACCCCCGGTGAACTTCTACATACTTTAGTGTCGGGAGCTTTCTATCAAAAGACCCCCTCTCTAACTTATCTGTAG